TAGTGAAGGGAAGACTTGCCAGGCCTTGAGGACTACAAACTTGGACCTTGGAGCAATAAAAAAAACACCACAGTATATTGGGTCTAGACAATTCTTGACCCAGAGGTTCTCCTTTGGGTCAAGTCTGAGTGTTGAGATCCTCAAAGAGATGCCCGGATAGATTCCTTGGCAGTCACGCAGTAGAGATTGCCCGCTGCTTCTCCTGGTGGCCTCCCATCCCGTTGACTCTGACAAGGGCCAGCTTACGTTTTTCAAACGATCACAACAGCACCAATAAAGTCTCGTTGAAAACAAGCTGGGCAAACTCAGGATCATGTGGGTTATAAACAGAGAAGGAACTCCATTTTGACTTTTCAAGCCTAGCCTACAGGCCGGGCGTTTCCTTGTGATTTCCTTGTGGTCTCCTTTCCATTTCCTTTTCTTCTTTCTCCCAACCCGGGTAGTCCTCGACTAACGACAACAATTGACCCCCAAAATGTATGTTGCTAAAACGAAACATTTGCTAAGGGAGCTTTTGCTTCGCTTTACGACCTTTCTTGCCACCGTTGTTAAGTGAACCGCTGCCGTTGTTACGTTAATCATTAATGACACAGTTTTGAAGGGAATCTGGCTTCCCCGTTGACGTTGCTCGTCAGGAGGTCGCAAAAGCAGATCGCGTGATCCTTAGGACACGGCGGCTGTCATAAATATGAGTCAGTTGCCAAGCACCTCAGTTTTGATCCCCTGACCATGCAGATGTAACTTTCAACGGTCACTAAATGAACTGTTGTAAGTCAAGAACTACCTATAATTATGGCCATAAGTCAAGGACTGCCTGTAATTATGGCTGTAAGTTGAGGACTATCTGTAATTGTGGCCGTAAATCAGGGACTGCCTTTAATTGTGGTCGTAAGTCGAAGACTGTCTGTAATTGTGGCCATAAGGCAAGGACTACCTGTATTTGTGGCCGTAAGTTGAGGACTACCTGTAATTGTGGCCATATGTTGAGGATTACCTGTATTTGTGGGCATAAATTGAGACCCGCCTGTAATTGTGGCCATAAGTTGAGGCCTGCCCATAATTGTGNAGAGAGAGAGGGAGAAAGAGAGAGAGAGAGAGAGAGAGAAAGAGAGAAAAAGAGACACACAGAGAGAAAGCCAGAGAGGGGGAGAAAGAGAGAGAACAAGAGACAGATGGAGAGAGAGACAGCGAGAGAGAAAGAGAGAGACAGAGAAAGAGAAAAAAGAGACAAAAAGAGAAAGAGAGAGAAAGATAAAGATAAAGAGAAAAAGAGAGACAGAGAGGAGAAAGAGAGAGAGGGAGAAAGAGAGAGGGAGACAACGAGAGAGAGAGAGAAAGAGAGAAAAAGGGACACACAGAGAGAAAGACAGAGAGGGGGAGAAAGAGAGAGAACAAGAGAGACAGATGGAGAGAGAGACAGCGAGAGAAAAAGAGAGAGACAGAGAAAGAGAAAAAAGTGACAAAAAGAGAAAGAGAGAGAAAGATAGAAAAAGAGTCAGAAAGAGACAGAGAGAAGGAGAAAGAGAGAGAGGGAGAAAGAGACAGGGGGAGACAGAGCAAGAGAGAAAAAGAGTGAAAGAGAGAGGGAGGGACAGTGGAAGAGAAAAAGAGAGACAGACAGAGAGAGATGAAGAGAGAAGGAGAGAGACAGACGGAGAAAGAGAAAGAAAGACAAAAAGAGGGAAAGAAAAAGAAAAAGAGAGGCAGAGAAGGAGAAAGAGAGGGAGGGAGAGGGCAAGAGAGAGAAAAACAGAGAGAGAGAGAGAGAGGGAGGGAGTAAGAGAGAGAGAGAGACATGCAAATTCACACTATCCTTTCCTTTATGAACTCAGGTGCAGTTGTCCTCGACTTATGACTGTAACTGAGCCCAAAGTTTCCATTGCTAAGCAGGACAGCCGTTAAGCGAGGTCTGCCCCATTTTATGACTCTTCTTGCCACAGTTGTAAAGTGAGTCGTTGTAGATGTTAGTAACGCAGTCCCTGAGTGAGCCTGGGGACGTGGTTGTTGCCAGAGGGTCACAGAAGGGGGTCAGGTGCCACGTTGCTGAACGGCCGGATGTTCCTCCTGTGACCATAGGGAGGCGGCCACGGTCGTAAGTGAGAAACAGGCTCCAAAGTTACTTTCCCAGGGCTGCAGTCATTTTGAATGGTCAATGGTTGTAAGTCAAGGACTGCCGGCCCTTTTTTCAAGGACATTCTTTCCCTGTGAAGAAATGACCCCCCCTCATCCCTCCTTCTCCCCCCGACATTCTGGGCTCTGCAATCAGGCTCAGTTGGGGTGAGGGAGGGTGGACTTCAACTCCCAGAATTCCCTAGCTGGCTCACTTTGGGATCTGTGGACTTTCCTTTCCTTTCCTCTCTCTTTTCCTCCTTCCCTTCTTCATCCATTGGCTTCCTTTCTTTTCCTTTCCTTTCTTTTCCTTTCCTCTTTCTTTTCCTCTTTCTCTTCCCTTCTTCATTCATTGGCTTCCTTTCCTTTCTTTTCCTTTCCTTTCTTTTCCTTTCCTTTCTTTTCCTTTCCTTTCCTCTCTTTTCTTCTTTCTTTTTCTTTCCTCTTTCTTTTCCTCCTTTCTTCCTTCCTTCCTTCCTTCCTTTCTTTCTTTTCCTTTCCTCTTTCTTTTTTCTCCTCTCCTTTCTTCTTTTTCCCCTTTCCTCTCTCCTTTCCTCTTTTCTTCTTTCCCCTTCCCCTTCTCCTTTCCTTTCCTCTCCTGTCTCCTTTCTTTTCCTTTCCTCTTTCTTTTCCTCCTTTCCTTTCCTTTCCTCCTTTCTTTCTTCTTTCTTTTCCTCTTTCCTCTTTCTTTTCCTCCTTTCCGTTCCCCTTCCCCTTCTCCTTTCCTTTCCTCTTCTCTCCTGTCTCCTTTCTTTTCCTTTCCTCTTCTTTTCCTCCATTCCTTTCTTTTCCACATTTCCTTTCTTTCTTTCTTCTTTCTTTTCCTTTCCTCTTTCTTTTTCTCCTTCCCTTCCCTTCTTCATCCATTTGTTTCCTTTCCTTTCTTTTCCTTTCCTTTCCTTTTCTCTCCTCTCCTTTCTTCTTTTTTCCCTTTCCTCTTTCCTTTCCTTTCCTCTCTTCTTTCTTTTCCTTTCCCCTTTCTTTTCCTTCTTTCCTTTCTTTTCCTCCTTTCCTTTCCTTTTTTTCTTTCTTCTTTCTTTTCTTCTTTCTTTTCCTCCTTCTCTTCCCTTCTTCATCCATTTGCTTCCTTTCTTTTCTTTTCCTTTCCTTTCCTTTCCTTTCCTCTCATCTCCTTTCTTCTTTTTTCCCTTTCCTCTTTCCTTTCCTCTTTTCTTCTTTGTTTTCCTTTCCTCTTCTTTTCCTCCTTTCCTTTCCCCTTCCCCTTCTCCTTTCCTTTCCTCTCCTCTCCTTTCATCTTTCCTCTCCTCTCCTCTTCCCTTCCCTTTCCTTTCCTTTGCTGTGAGCACAGGGAACCATTCTGCACATTTATTCTGCTGACTTTTCCAATGCAGATTGGATCCCTTTCTCCCCTCCGAAGGGCAGATCTGCAGCGACAGATGTCCTCGGAATATGTCAACTTCTGTTGAATTCGTCAGATTAAAAATAGCCTCCCTCTCCGGCGGCATTTCAGAAATGGAAATTGCACACCACCCAGAACAAATCGCTGGGAGCGTTTTTCAGTTTCCTGCATGCAGGGAGATGGCACAAGCACCAGGCTTTGCTCCTAGGGGTGATGAACGCCCCAAGATGGCTGACACGGGGTCTTAATTCTTAAAGGTCCTCTAGACCAACCCCCGTCTTAAAGCAGGGTTTTTTTTTGCGGGGGGGGGACAGGTTAACTCTGGGGGA